AAAAAAAAAAAAAAGTAGTTGGGCATTGTGGTGAGTACCTGTAGTCCCAGCTACTCAGGAGGCTGAGGCAAGAGAATCACCGAAGCCCAGGAATTGGAGGTTGCTGTGAGCTGTGATGTGACAGCACTCTGAGGGCGACATAATGGGACTCTGGCTCAAAAGAAAGAATCTTTATAACAATTATGCATAACTCCAGGGTAGAGGAAAAAAAAAGGAGGGAACAGTGATTATTTTAAAGCAAAAGAGGGGACAGTGGCTGCTTATCATCATCATTTTAGCTAAGCCTGCTCCTGCACAGAGTTGTGGGGCCCTTTCTCTAGTTCTCACCTTGCACCCCTTCATCTATTTGTAAGAGCGATTTCACGGTAACTCCAGGATTAGAACTGTCAGCCCCACTCCCCGGCCAAGGGGAGGGAGGGCTTGAGATTGAATTTGATTACCAATGGCCAATGATTTAATCAATCATGCCCTTGTAATAAAACCTCCATAAAAATCCTTACACTCAGAGCCTGGCCGAGTTATTTTTTTTTTTATAGACAGGGTCTCACTCTTGCTCAGGCTGGTCTCCAACTCCAGCTCTCATGAGCTTCCAGGTTGCTGAACACAGTGATGTGCTGGGAAGGTGGGAATGGGGGAGGCTCAGAGGCTCTGCGCCAGTCCACCTGATACACCTTTCCTCCGCGTCTTTTCCATCTGGCTGTTCCTGAGTTGTATCCTTGATAACAAATGAGTGAACATAAGCAATGTGTTTCCTGAGTTCTGTGAGTCATGCTAGTGGTTATCAAACATGAAAGGAGGTCATAGAAACCCTGAAGTTCATAGTCAGCCTGGTAGACGTGTGGGTGTTCTAGGACCCCATTCATGGATGGTGGTTGAGGCAGGGGCAGCCTTGTGAGACTAAGCCCTATAATTTGTGGGATGTGACCCTAACTTCAAGTAGATAGTGTCAGAATTAGTTTGAATTAAATTATCAGACACTCAACTAGTGTCAGCATTGGGTGGTGTGCGGAAAAATGACAGACTTATGGTGTCAGAAGGAACCACTGCACAGGCACCCGTCACATTTGTCTCCTCCTGACTTCACCTGGCCCTCTCACAACCACATTTCTTTATAGCATGTGGTTACGCCCAGAAGAAACTGCCAATTCCGCTACAGCTCTCTGACCTAAATTCAGTGTCAGCCTTTTGAAGAGGAGCAAAAGTGGGGCCTACGTTTTCCCTGTTCCAGACTACGGAGGGAGGGAGATTTGTCTACAGGGCTCTGACCTTTCTCTGACTATAATCCACACCACACCTGGTGGAAAATTCCACCAGACTAGAGAGCAAAGGGCCTCTGCTCTCAAAGGGCCCAACCCGTTTGCTAATCACCTTCAGTCTCACTGCCTGCCTTGGCTTTGGGGGATGTGCTGCCTGTTGCATTGTGAGCTTGGTTATGTGGTATCTGCCAGAGCCCTCCTGTCAGCCTAGAGTCTTTGCCCTGGCCTCCTTTGTCTGGGCTATTTATCAGTGTCCAGCCTTTCCTAGGGCCCCAGAGTTGCTGTAATAAACTTGCTCAGCCATTCCCACTTGAATACACCGCAGGCAGTCTCTGCAGAAAAGACTCGAAAAGCTTCCATCTCCTGAGGCCTGGCTGTGCTGCTGTCCTGGTGCTGTTAAACACTGTCCCTTCCCTTCTGTGCCTCCCCTTCCTTCCCTCTCCTAGAGAAGCTACACAGTTTCGTCATCTTAGTCTGCTCATGGTGCTATAACAAAAGTACCCAAGACTGGGTAATTTATAAACAACAGAAATTTATTTCTCACAGTTCTAGAAGCTGGGAAGATCAAGGTACCGGCAGGTTTGGCGAAAGGGTAGGGGCAGAGGAAGGGTCTTGGCTGTTTCCCCCAGCCTTTTTATGGGGCACAAATCCATTCTGGAATTCTTTCAAACCGTGCCACGTTGATCCAGGGGATCTCTATCTGCCATACTCACAAATGCACTGCCATATAGCACAAATTCCCGTCTTCTTCCAGATCCCTGGAAATCATCTGACTCCTTTGTGTTCTGTCCCGTTGGGCAGTGCCTGAAGTGTTCTGAACAGGTGTCGGCTCCTAAGCACCTGGCACTGACCCGTACACAACTAAGACACAGGCTCAGATTCACAGAATGGCTGAAGGATGGGAGGATTGAGGGGGCACTGCTAGTCCTCCAAGATGCCAGGAAAGTGTGTGTGTGTGTGTGTGTGTGTGTGTGTATAGGTGTATAGTCAGCTTTTATAAAGAGTGTGACAGGGTGCTATTTATTCCCCCTTGTCGTCTTTGTACTACATTGATAAAATGCCTAGAATAAAGATTATACATTTCCAAATCCACCTTGCAGTTTGATATGATTATTTGAATGAATTCTGGCCAATGGAATGTGAAGGGAAGTGATGCGTGGAACTTTAAGGGTGTATCCTTAAGGGGAGGAGCCACCCCACTTCTCCAACATTCCCTTCCCCACCCCTCTCCCTCTCTCCTATCCTACTGCTCTAAATGTGGACATGGTGGCCTATGTCCCTGGCCAAGTAGACTTTAGGCCATAACCTAGAGATGATGAGACAACAAGTTAGAAGGAGCTTAGGTCCAGATGACCACACTGAGCAGAACTAGCCCTAGACCACCTGGTGAGATAATCAATCTACCAGGGCCCTGAGCAGCCCTCAATGTCCTTTTTGGATATGCCAAGTCTCTGACTATCATTTAGTTGGCTATTTCATAAGGTTTAAGTTTGCATGAGCAACCTTGAGGCATAAGGTAACCTCCCAGACAAAAAGCAGACTTGCTTACCACTCACTGTAAAAGTGGTAGATTTCAGCTGTGCTGCACATCCACTGCCTCCACACTGTTCACCTTGGTCCTCCATGGTACACCCATGAGTCTTGGGGCCATGGGGAACTGGCACCAACACAAAGGGTGTGCTGCTAGTTATGCACTGAGTAATACAATCCTCTGTCTCAGACCCTGAGTCTTGCATCTTCTGCCAGCATGCATGAAACAATAATTTCTTAGCTTGCAAGTGGAGTACAATCCCAGAAACTGACACATCTCTGGCCTCTATGCTGAGGTAGACTGCTACAGCAGGATCACTTAAGGATGCCAGAAATCATGAGGTAGAACGAACAGTCCTGAAAATAAGGCCAACATGATGGAAAACAAAACCAAGAGGACAAGGACAAACCAAGTTCTACTGACATAGTTTTAGCCCAAATTCATCTATGTCTGAAGGCTGTTTGTTTATTCGTTTATTTTCTGAGACCGGGTCTTGCTCTAGTGAGCCTTCCTAAGGGAGGATGAAATTTGCCTGCAGGGCTCTGACCTTGTTCCAACTACAATCCACTCTGTACCTGGTGGAAAATTCCAACAGACTGGGTTGAAAAGGGCCTCTGCTCTGAAATAGGGCACAACCTCTCATGCTGTTGCCCAAGCTAGAGTGCTGTGGTGTCATCAGAGCTCACAGCAACCTCAAACTCCTGAGCTCAAGTGATCCTCCTGCCTCAGACTCCCAAGTAGCTGGGACTACAGGCGCCCTCGACCACACCTGGGTAATGTTTTCTATGTTTAGTAGAGACAGGGTCTCACTTTTGCTCAGGTTGGTCTGCAAGTCCTGCGTTTAAGCAATCCTCCTACCTTGGCCTGTCAAAGTGCTAGGAGTATAGGGATGAACCATCACAACCAGACCTGAAAGCTGTTTTTAGGAAAGAAGTCATCTTTTATCTCTTAAGCCACTATTATTTTGGATTTCTATTACAGGCAGCCAATCCTAATCCTAACTAATCAAAGAGTAAATTCAAATTTGTTAAAAAAAATCATGCTTATTATATTTTATCAGAGATATTTATCATTCAAGAGGAGCCAAATATGATCCATCCAAAAGCAAGAAATTATAAAAGAGTGAGAAGTATATGTTTGTTGGCACCACTTCTGATATATGGGGCCAGCACCCTACTCCTTGAGCCACCGGTGCCACCGTCATTGGTACCCTTGAACAAGTGTCATGTAGGAATCAAGAAGACTACACTGTATGTGGTTCCCACAGTTAGCAGATATTGAGGGCACTATTACTGAATCAAACTGTACAAGTTATGAAAATGGGCCAGGTATGGTGGCTCATGCCTATGATCCCAGCACTTTGGGAGGCTGAGGTCAGAGTACTGCTTGAGCCCAGGAGTTCAAGCCTGAGCACCACAGCAAGACTTTATCTCTACAGAAAATATAAAAATGAGCCAGTACAAATAGAAACAGTAGTCCCAGGTACTGGAGACACTGAGGCAGGAGGATCACTTGAACACAGGAGTTTGAGGTTGCACTGAGCTGTGATGATACCACTGCACTCTAGCCTGGGCAACAAGCAAGACCCTATCCCCCCCAAAAAAAAGAAAAAAAGAATTATGAAAGTGAACTCTGCACATTTATTTAAGATAATTTTCAAAAGTTGCTTGTGTGTTATTTTGTGACAAGAATTATATTCACCCATGCTCTTTAATAAAATCCCTTTTATGAAGAATGAAGTCCAGAGGAACTTGGAGAGCAAATTCCCTAATCTGCTTTGTCCCCAGAGTTCTTTCCAGTATGTTGGCAGCTCTTAATTTTTGAGAAACAGCAGGGTAATTAAAAATATTGAGAAAGGTTCAAACAAAGTTATGTCACTACCACATTAATCAGGAGACCAAGGCAGACAAAGATAAAACAAGACTAGACACCAAGGCCTGGCAGCACCTGTTCCTGACAAAATGTTGAAAGCTCTTTTGCAGGTGGTGCCTGTGGCTCAAAGGAGTAGGGTGCTGGCCCCATATGCTGGAGGTGGCGGGTTCAAACCCAGCCCCGGCCAAAAAAAAAGCTCTTTTACAAGACACAGGTATCTTGATGTGTTGAAATATTCCAAATGCTTGATTTCTCTCCAGTAATTCCCCGTCTGGTCATTTCTTACTTCCAACTTTGAACATGTTCACAATTTTTTTTTTTTTTTGAGACAGAGTCCCACTTTGTCACCCTCATCAGAGTGCTGTGGCGTCACAGCTCATAGCACCCTCCAGCTCTTGGGCTTAAGCAATTCTCTTGCCTCAGCCTCCCAAGTAGCTGAGACTACAGGCACCCACCACAACACCCGGCTATTTTCTTGTTGCAGTTGTCATTGTTGTTTAGCTGGCCTGGGCTGGGTTTGAACCCGCCAGCCTCAGTACATGTGGCTGGCGCCATAACCACTGTGCTACGGGTACCAAGCCAGCAACCTCAAACTTTTGGGCTCAGGCAATTCTCTTGCCTCAGCCTCCCAAGTAGCTGGGACTAGAGGCATCCACTATGGTGCCCAGCTATTTTTTTGTTTTAGTTGTCATTGTTGTTTGGCTGGCCTGGGCTGGATTTGAACCCACCAACTCTGGTGTATGTGGCTGGCACCCTAGCCACTGAGCTATAGGTGTCAAGCCCATGTTCACAATTCTTTAATGAAATTATCCCCATTGGTCCTTTTCCGTTTGTTTGTTTGTGTGTTTGTTTGTTGAGACATAGTTTCACTCTGTCACCCAGGATAGAGTGCCGTGGTGTCATCACAGCTCATAAGCAACCTCCAACTCTTCAGCTTAATGATCCTCTTGCCTCAATTTTTCTAATTTTTAATAGAGATGGGAATCTTGCTCTTGATCAGGCTGGTCTCAAACTTCTGAACTCAAGGGATCCTCCCACTTTAGCCTTCCAGACTGCTAAGATTACAGGCATGAGCGACCATACCCCACTGTTGTTCTTTTAAAGAAGTCTTTGGGGGCGGTGCTGGGCTCACTGGGTAGAGCACCAGGCCCCATATATCGTGGGTGGAGGGTTCAAACCCAGTTCCGGCCAAATTGCAACAAAAAAATAGCCAGGCATTGTGGTGGGCACCTGTAGTCCCAGCTACTCAGGAGGCTGAGGCAAGAGAATCTTCTAAGCCCAGGAGTTGGAGGTGGCTGCGAGTTGTGTGATGCCACAGCACTCTACTGAGGGTGATAAAGTGAGGCTCTGTCTCTACAAAAAATAAAATAAAATAAAATAAAGAAGTCTTTGAGTGGAGACTGGAAAAACTGATAGACAAATTCTTTTTTCTTTTTTTAGACAGTCTCAAGTTGTGCAATAAAGCTGAGATTGCTGCTTCCTATTGAGGACAGCCCTCCTGGTCCCGCTGTTCTGGGTCTTTCTTTTCACATTCCGCACCATCTAGTCCTGGGGTCCCTAATAACCTTTGCCAGGCAGGTTCCTGGCAGGTGGCTCCTGAACAGGTACCTGAGGAATACTGACCCCGTGGGACACCCTGAAAAGTTGTTTTGCAGTGTTGCGGCTGACTCATAGGTGTGTCCCTAACATAAAGTAGGTTATGTACTTCTGTAAATTTAAGTATATTTAGGGGGTGCATTGTTTGTGAGAAGTAAAGCATGGGACAGTCTGGGTCAAAGGACTGCAGTTTGTATATGCAAGTGTTAAAGTCTATGCTCACAGCTTGTGGGGCCCAGGTACAGACTCATCAACTAGAGCGTTTTCTGCAGCTCATGCAGGAGTTATGTCCTTGGTTCTCTGAGGAGGGGACTGTAAATCAGGATACATGGGCTAAGGTTGGGTCCCACTTGAAAGCTTATTATACTGCCCGAGGGCCTGATGGGATCCCCCTTGAAACTTTCACCATCTATAATTTGGTGAAGGATTGCCTCCACCTGAAACCTGAGGTTGAGCACATGGGTCCCCTCCAGTGTACTCCCTCTGTGCCTGCTTTCAGTGACTGGGATGCCCCCGATTTTTTCCCTAAAGAAGATTCTCTGTCCCCAGAGGAAGTGCAACAGCTTGAGGAGGAAGCTGCTCGTATGATGAGAAGGAAGAGCAGCCTCCCAGGGATAGAGATTATAGTGATGATTTTGAGGGCGTGCTTACTAAAGACTTGATTAAAGCTTTCGCAACCTTACAGGCTGCCTTTTAAAAAAAAAGGAGTGGGATCGCTCCATGTTCCCTCCTTCTACAGCTCCTGTTGTTCCATCTGCTCCCCTGGCTCCTGCAGCTACCGCTCCCCTGCTCCCACCGCTCCCCTGCTCCCATTCCTTCCCACTGAGCATCTTTTGCAGCTTCCCCTTTGCCGCACTCCGGGGAATCCCTGTCTGTGTTCTCCGTCTGCTACTACATTGCAGCAAGTTTTGCATTTGGCCCGTGAAGCAGGGGAGGATATGTCTAGCTTTCATGCTTTCCCTATTCATGTAGATCTGACTTCTAATCAGCAATACCATGAACTCATTCCCTTTAAAACTTTGAAGGATATAAAGGCAGGTGTGTCTCAATACAGAGCCACTGCTCCTTTCACTAGGCTATGATAGATTCTTTAAGGGATGATGCTTTGCCCCCTAATGATTGGAAGAGTATTGCTAAAGTGTGCCTCTCCAGAGGGGATTACCTCTTGTAGAAGGCAGAATATATGGATAAAGCTGATGAAATGGCTCAGCATAATCACCAGGCTAATAATGGAGTTTCCTATGAAATGCTTACAGGGATGGGAAATT